GAGAACCGGCTGTTCACATATCTGAATCCCACCACTGCATAAAGGACTGACCTATTAGAAGTCAGCATTATAAAAAATACACAAATGTATATCTGCACAGTGGAAACCTAATTTGCTAGCATGTAATCTATGCCAATATGATTTCATTATGGACTACTTTAAGTACAAAGGAATGCTTAATTTCACCCACTTAATTGACATTTTCTATTAAAAAGTCGCTTCCAAGGGGTCTTCAAGGACAGTCTCCTTGAAAAGAGAGAGTTCTAATGTCCGATTGTGAAGTGATTAGAGCATGAGTAACTGCCTGAAGGGCCTCCCAATCTGGGAACAGGCACAACTGACACACCAGATGGATCTGTGCAAAGGGCCTCCTAGCCATATCTGCAACCTGCTCTGTGACCTCCACACTGCACTCCAGTCTCAAATGAGAAAGTGCAACACGAGACCAAACTGGGATGTTTGTAAGCTGATTTAATATGTCAATTCCTCTATAAACCCATAAATGCAAAACCCAAACAAACACATTCAGACTGGGATTATCCCAAAGTGTAAATCTGTTATAAGAATAAGAATCAGAATTATATTTCTGCCCCTAAATTTTTCATATGCACCTTGCTGGCTTTATAACTGAAAATGCAGCAGAATCTTGATTAAAACAAATATCCAAAGAAACAAGTTTCAGCTATGGTATTGGTAGGATATAATTTAAAATTGTGCCCACAATTGTTTTTTTAACCTGTTAAACTAATATAGTCAATGGTAGAGTTGAAAATCAGGAAAGTTAAAATCCCTGTTTTAATCTACCACCCATAATTTAGATAAAGAAATACTAGGGGAGGGTTGTTCTTATTAAAAGCATTCTTCAAAACTCACCAAACCTGCTTTAAGTTCCTTAAAAGTTTTAGCAAGAAATTCCTTCTAAGAATTTTAGAATAGTATTAATTATTACAACATTTATCTTTCCTTATAACAAATAGGAAAGATACAGTATATCTTTCTCTATTATCTATCCGTTTATATAAAAATAAATCTGGGACAAGCAGGTTGAAATATTTATGTCCAGAAATGAAAAAAAACTGTTCTTACAATAATTATTCCAAGATACTTAAACCATTCAAGAATTCAAGGAATAAACTCCCATTTTTCACAGATGTTCACAATTACAGCCTATGGCAAATTTTAAAGACTGCATCCAGTTTTGGTCACCACAATGTAAAAAAGATGTTGAGACACTAGAAAGAGTACAGAGAAGAGCAACAAAGATGATCAGGGGACTGGAGGCTAAAACATATAAGGAACGGTTGCTGGAATTGGGTATGTCTAGTCAGATGAAGAGAAGGAAGAGGGGTGACTACTATCGTCACAAGGTTATAGAGTCCCCGACGGTGTTTCTTCTCCCTCAGTCCGATAAGAGGTCTCACGGACTTCTCTTCTGTTCTTCGTTGCCTACCTTTGATTGGTTTCTCTCTTCGTTGGATCTTGATTCCTCTTTAAAAGAATCTTGTTAATTAGTCACCTTGTTGGACGGAGGTCTTTGACACTCACGAGGTTCACTGGAAGTTTTTTTAAGAGACTGGACAGCCATTTGTCTGAAATAGTATAGGGTTTCCTGCCTGAGCAGGGGGTTGGACTAGATGACCTCCAAGGTCCCTTCCAATTATTACTACTACTACTACTACTACTACTACTACTACTACTACTACTACTACTACTACTACTACTACTACTACTACTATTTCCAATTAGTCAAAATACCTAATTTACCAATAAATTATTGGCATAATGCCAATAAATTTTGCCACAAAACATTCATAATTTCTAATAAGACACATATTATCAACATATAAATATAATTTGTTCAACTCAAGTCACTTTTATGGCAGAATGACTGCCTGACAAAAGAGGTCAAAATAAATATAAGAGGAGAGGTCAGATTTGATGAGTTCCATCAAACATCTTGACAGGTAAAGGAATAGTCCCATCTGTAATGATCCTGGTCTTCATATGAATCCAATAAATAAAAAGGAAGAAAACCCGTGTTTGGCCAAATCTTGATTCAAAAATTTCAACTACTCCATATTAAAAGTCCTTTCTTCATCTAATGAGAAAGTTTTTTAAAGTAATGTATGTCTAAGATATCAATTAATAACTTAATAGATAAAAGGCTTGTTGACCTTATATGCAGGAATTAAAATAAAAGTACAACAAACTTCCTTTTTTTTAACTATTTGGGAAGATAAGAGTTACTGTTAAATCTAAATTTTAGCAGTCTATATCAGAGTTCCCCAACCTTTTCGGCTTTGCAGACCGGGGAGGGGGGAGGAGAGAAGTTTCTGCACGGTGCTTGTGCAAATGGAGCGCACGGCACACGCTCGCCCTCTGTACGCGCATGTGGGAATGCACACAGACGCTCGTCCGCCACTTCCACGGCCCAGTTCCGAAAGGCTCAAGGCCTGGTAGTGGGCCGTGGCCTGGGGGTTGGACACCCCTGGTCTTTATAACAGGGTTGCTGTCAACATTTTAGTATCAACACTTATTAAGGAATCAAGCAGTAACTTGTATAATCAGCCAAACCTTCACCAGGTTTCAAAAGCACTGTTATATTATCTTGATAGAAGAAACTGAAAGAAATTTTATTCAGGCAAGCTTCATTATAACCTTCCAACGATGAAGAAGACTCCAATCCCCCTTCATTATGTATGTTATATTACTAAGTCGGACTAGGAATTTTCTCTTTTTTTTCATAACTTAATAGAAGCTGTTAATTCTTATACATATAAAGGTATAGCCAGATAATTAACTTGGTGATATGTAATCTTTGGAGGAACTATAGTAGTTAAAATGATTAATTTCTCCTTCAGTAACTTTTTCTTTATTATATGAGAATAAAAATAAAAAAATAAAAAATCATTATATATTTTGTCCTGAGTATCCTTAGTAGAAATATCTTGTGGTTGCTTTTTAATTAGGAACCCAATGATTTCCAAGTCTTGTCTTATATAATTATTTCTATCTATCTATCTATCTGTCTGTCTGTCTGTCTGTCTGTCTGTCTGTCTGTCTGTCTGTCTGTCTACCTACCTACCTACCTACCTACCTAACCTACCTACCTTCCTTCCATGTTTTTAGACTGCCCATCTCCCTCAAGTATGAAGTCCATAAAAGGAATTCAGTTCCAATTGAGCAGATATAAAAGCTTTCTATGTTTCAAATGTAAATTGCTTTATATATGGACTCACAAGTTCCTTAATTCTTTTCTCTAAATGCTTTTCCTCAGAATTTTTTATGTTTTTTTCCATGAAGCATAAATAACAAATAGACATATGTCTTAAAAGGCATCTGAAATACAAATAAAGTTCAAAGGATACTTTTCTTTTTACAAAAAAATCTTCAAAAACCTTATTTCATGTTTTTTATAAAATGTGATAATGATAAAACAAAACAATCAAGCATATGTTGGGATCAAAAAAGGAAAATATGAAAAGTGTATTTCCTTCAGCCCCAAATTAAAACTGGAAATTTCCAGAAAACAAAACAAGGTAAAATGGAATCAGAAGTTTTTGTTTCTTTTGTTGCTTAGGTAAACACAGATGTGTAGTTAGCACTGTACTAAGGTTATTTTTAGTTTCTGTGTATTTTAGTCTGCTTTACTGCCAATATCCATTGCTTCTATTCAATCTCATGCTGTTTGATTAATTCAGGATTTTGGTGCACAAAATTCCCCACTTTCTTACACATCTATATTATCCTGGAATTTGTCCAGAATATTATAATTTTCCTGTGAATCTATATTAAAGAACTTGGAGTGGCAGTATATAATGTTAGCACTATAATCTTTTAACCTTAGGCATTAAAGGTTTACATTTTCCTTTCTCTTATTTTTGATAAAATTGATTTTTAAATTGTAGATTGGGTATTCTTATCCAACTCTCAAAAGAGGGGACAGATTTACCTAGTCATACACTCCAAAAGTTATAGGGCTATGATCTACAGAAATTTAATTACCGTTGTTATAATTCCAATATCACTAATCATGTGTCATGGCTAATGTTGGTTGAGTGTGTTCTTCA